GCTCGTCATCTATCTTTGGTTGTGCAAGACGAAGAGCGCAACCTTCAAACTTTGCGAAACGCTCTACAGAGCAAAGAGATGTGCTCATAGACAACAAACAGGGGCAGGCACGTGCTACTTGCTTGGATTTTGCTAGGGAGTGGCAACGGTAGAAACAACCTGTCCTGAAAAATAGTGCGTAGACAACGACAGCAACAACCGCAGCAGCGAAATTAACTCACGCCAGACGCCACCGATGGCTCCGATGATAGCCCAGCCATCAACAGGGTCCACCTGTTCGATGCTCGTGTACTCGAACTTGGGGATGAACATGTTGAACAGCAGAGCTGCTAGCTCCTCGTTGAAGTCGGGATTGTACCAGTTGACCGTTGCACTTGTCGAGGATTGAGTGAAGGTTCGCTGCGGGTCTTGCTTCTCGCCGGATGATGTCGAAATGGGCTGGAACTGGGTCATTTCGATCACCTGCCCAGTAGTAGCCCAGCACGATCTCTGTCGGTGGGTACAAGAAGCGAAAGGCTACCAGGTACCAATTGTCCGGAAAAATAGTTCCCCCCTGGAGTGGGTATTTGAACCCATAGGATTAACGCTTATCTCTCTCGTCCTTATTTTCTTTCTCTCCTTTTCGTCGGACTGTCCTTGTTACGATATTGAGATGGCTGTTCGTGGTATGTGTGTGCCGTTGCGCCGCGACTTCTTCGATCGGGTGTTCCAAGCTGCTCCTGCTGCGTCTTGGGCCATGGGTTGCGTGCTACGTCCCGTCGTGAAACAACGCGCTAGTGCGGACCTTTGTGGCCGAAGGGAGGCACAGGTTTGCTCAAACACCGAGAAAGGTGTGGATCAGGCAGCTGTATTTTACCGACAAACATGTCGCATGGTTTCAGCTTATGCTGCCCCTGATTGATAGGGAGGGGTGATTGTGCGATCCTCAGTACATCCACGACTAGCAAGGTATCCGTGCTAAGGTTGGGGGCCTTGAAAACCCCTTGTCTAACACGTGCAAAGCTTCGAGGTAGCGGTGTGGGACCGCCATGTCATATCGTGCGGACACCAATAATAATATGTTCATTAGGTTTCGAACCCTAGTCAAGAGCAGGGTCGGGGGGCTAAGAGAGAGAAGAAAAATACCATTCGACGATTGGGTTCTATTACGACGGAAATCGAGGAGTCGCTTGTACTTTTCGTGCGGACACGAAAGAAATCAGAAACAAACAACGAAGAGCGACCCAGCATGTACTATCGACGGCCAAACACCAGCGGCGCCGACGACGACACGGACCCAACCCACCATGTGGCTCATTGTCCCCACCATGGACCCATTTGTAGTAGGCGAGAGGCGGTTGTACGGAAGTTTTGCATCGGTGAGTTCCTCCCCGATGGCCTGAGAGACGACAAACAAAACGCGACCACGTCAAATCTCGACATGATCCTACTTCTTTGAGTATGTTGCCTCGCTTACCCCGTTGAAAAACTTGCTTGATAGTGGAAGGTCAGATGGTACTGAATTTACCGCCGATTTGACCTACAAGTAGACATAATGTTTCTCAAGGGCAGCAAAGGATAACCATTTTCATGAAACACAACACATGAACCAGAACGACAGATCTACTGGCAGCGTAGGAAACAAGCGAACAGATGCACGCCAGGAGCAGGCGGAATCGATCTTTCGCAACTTTCAAGCAATGGGCTCTCACCTCTACCCCAAGATCCACGTCCACGAAGAATAAGTTGACGAACTGGGTGTTGATTGACACTCCTCTGGACGCCAGCTCAACCGCCGGGTCGAAGTCGTCGTGCGGGTCTTCGTCCCAAAGCAGCTGTACCGTTCGTGTTGTCATTGTGCAACGCGAGGAACATCCCCATGCACGTGTGATACACGCGGGCAAGAATGAAAAGGCGCACATTAGAGGCACGGACCGGCAGCAAGAGCGAAACAAGGCGCGGATGAGAAAGGGGCGGAATCTGGGCCTTTGAGAAAGAGTGGCGCGGAGCACAGCCGCAAACAAATATATCTATTATACCGTCATGACCTGGAACCCGTGAAAGGCACCAGGAAGCGATGAGACGCCAGTTGGGAGAGAGATAGTGTGGTGTCGGTCGGTTGGGGTCAAAACCGAAATCGCAACAGCAGGGAGAGGCACGTACCCCGCGAGGGAAAAAGAGATATGTACCGAAGGTTGCATGAGATTCAGCACCTCCCCCGTGGACCGATTGTTGATGCTCGACTAGGCTATGCCACGACGAAGAGGGTGCCACAGCAGTCAGTGACGCATCTTCGGAAAGGTCTTGAAGAAATCGTAGCAATTCCATCGCCGCTGTTGTTGGCACCGTCGCTGCTGTCTTCGCTGCAGAGTACTCGAGCGTTGAAAATCGGGCATGTGGTTTCCTATGACGCCTACGATATACACACAGCGCCAGCAAGAGAGAATGGAAAGCACCCCGTCGGTGGCTATGGAGGGATTCCTGCGGCAACCCGTGCGTTCAAGACGGACGAAATCACCGCGCACGACGCGTTGTCCCTCCCATCCCCACCCACCCCGAAGGTTGCGTAGAAGTGGTTGATGTCTCCGTTGTCGATCCCCGTTTGATTTACCGTAAGCTTTGAGGTCGGTAGCACCCTGCAGTGAGGGTACGCTTCCTGGATGGCAAGACTTGCCTCGTCTGCCTCCAGCTCGGCTTCCATAAAGCCCTGGTGCGTCGTGGAGACAAGGGTTAGGGAACAACGGGAAAGATTGACCCCGCTGCTTGTCGTCTTAGCCATGCCCCGGTTGTCCTTGCGAAGACCAGGCCCGCCTCTTTCTCCAAATACATAGTCGATGCCCTTATCCCCCACTTTTACCTCTCGACCCTCTTCTATTTCTTGCCTATGCTATCAATGTCGCTCTCATGTTGATGTCGGGGAAGCTACCTTCGACCATGTCGCCTTGAAAACGTTTCGAGAGACCTTCACGAAATCAACGCTTGGCCGCTGTGACCGGACCATTCCCAAGGAAAATCAAGAAGTGCTCGCACGGCAGGGGGCATACGATCCAAATGTCCCCGTCAGGATACGACACACCACTTCGTACACGTCAGCAACAGCATAGATAAACATCTGCAGCGGCATTTGCGAGGAGGGCCTCACATACTGTCCGAACATCGTGAATTCGGCATTTACGAAGCAGTCGGACGGGGGGTACGTGAGGCAACCCTCGTACTGAGAGACGCACACCGCCAGATCCGGGAACGTGAAAACCTCCAGCTAAAAATGGAAAGGAGAGCCGAGAAGCAGGCCGGAGTGCGGGCAAGCGCGCGCGGGGGGGGGGGGG